TGGCTACTTTTAGCTTGTGTCTGGCTACGTTTAGCTTTTAACCAATCTTTGCTTACTTACTTAACTAACTTTTGCTATTTTTAGCTTTTACCTACCAATTTTCTACTTTTAACTTCTTATAGTTTTTATTTGCCTTTTAGTAGTGTTTTGCTACATCTAGTGTTTAACCTTCATCTACCTTTAGCAATCATCATTCTACTTTGAGCTTTAGAATAAGATTTTGCTAAAGTTTAAACCAACTTTTTTTCTACTTTTAGCTTCAACATAGCATGTTGGTCCTTTTGGGTTTTAACTAGCATTTAGGTATTTTTTGATTTTAACTAGCCTTTTGCTATTATTAGTTTTAGGCTGGCCTTTAACTACTTTGAGCTTCCTTTTTGTTACTTTTAGATAGCCTGTTTTGAATTTAGGTAGTGTTTTTCTACTCCTAGCTGGCCTTTTTATAATTATAGCTATTTTGGTATGTTAAGCTTCAAACTAGTTTTCTTTCTTTACACTTTTAGTTAGGGTTCTTTTCGTTTAACTTTAACTGGATTCAATTTTAGCTTCATTCAACACTCATTCACTTTTTTTAACAGAAGAATTATAGATAAAAATTTCTCCCTGATGTTTTATGCGGGCAGCACGGTGTCGCAACTGGTAGAACTGCTGCCTCTCAGTGAGCAGGTCCCTGGTTCAAACCCCAGTCCAGGGACCCTCTGGGTGGAGTTTTCATGCTCTCTCCGTGCATGCATGGGTTTTCTCCAGGTGCTCCAGTTTCCTCCCACAGACCAAAAACGTGCATGTTAGGCTGATTGGTAACTCTAAATTGTCCCTAGGTGTGAGTGAGAGAGTTAATGGTTGTTTGTCTCATTTGTGGCCCCGTGATGGACTTGCGACCCGTCCAGGGTGTACCCCGCCCCTCGCACAGTGATTGCTAGACATGGGCACCAGCGACCTCCGTGACCCAAAATGGAATAAGCGGGTAAAGAAAATGGATGGATGGAATAAAAACAACAAAACCACAACATTTGAAAAAACGGAATTACCTTAAGCCAAAGCGGAAGTGGCCAAAGCAGAAATGGCCAGAATCACATTAGAAAAAATAGAATTACATAAAAAAAAAAACAAAAAAAAAAAACAGAATTACATTTGAAAAAACAGAATCACATTAGAAAAAATGGAATTACATTAAGCCAAAGCGGACGTGGCCGAAGCGGAAGTGGCCCGAATCACATTAGAAACATTAAGTCAAACAGGAAGTTTTTTTGTTGTTGTTTCCTTTATTAACAGCATATCCTGGCAAAAACTAATGCAGACACGTTCCTGTTTTTAGTTTTCTACATTTTCCTTATAATCTAGCTGTTTTTGTTACTTTTTTTGCCATCCTAGTTGTAAAAAAAAAAAAATCAGTATGCCTTTTTATATTTGTCTATTGTTGTCGCTGTTGTCCATTGTTGTCATCATTTTTTGTTGAAATCAGGTCTCTCTTGTAATTGAGTCCTCGAGGCTCAACGGGATTAACCTGTCTAAATAAAGGTTGAATTAAAATAAAACCGAACCACAGAACAATACACAGTACACACTCAATGGAGAAGTGTGTACTGTATATTCTAAAAAAGTTAAGTCAGATCCTCTGGACGTTCAAAAATCAACAACAACAACAAAAATTGTAGAAACGTTTCGTCTTTCATCCAAAAGACTTCCTCAGTCTGAGGAGCTGTATTCAGCTCAGTTTTATAAATAGCACCTTCTCATAGTGGATCAACCAGTTTGTTGTTGACATTCAAAACTTGCTGTCCACATGATCAAGGAGGGCCATCAGCCTAATGATGGATCATTAGCACCCTGATGGCTGCTAAATATGCACAGGGGCTGAGTGATACTATCAATAACAAGACTGTAAGAGGGGAACAGTTGAACACGGAGGCCTCCAGAGTACCTGACTTAACTTTTTTATATTTTTTTACTTGGATTATTGAGCATGCATCAGGATGTACTGTATATTGTTCTGTTGTTCGGTTTTATGCTGTTAATAAAGTGGGGAAAAAAATCCTGTTTGGCTTAATGTAATTGCATTTTCTCAAATGTGAGTCTGTTTTTTCAAATGTAATTCCATTTTTTCAAATGTTGTTCATTTACACCTTAGGGCCACCGTATAAAACTACTCCAAATTATTCTAATAATATTTGAAAAAAGGACTAAAACAAAGTCTGTTCAGTCTTTTCAGGATGTTTACCGTGTTCCTCGGCTGTTTCTCCTTTTACGTAATAACCATAATCAGAATCCTGTCATTCTCGCTCAGGACATAAGGCAGATTAAATGCATTGACTTGTCACGCCTTGCGAGCTACTTTGTTATTTTTACAGCCCCTTCCATTATCACCTGTCATTACTGTGTACACATCCGGTACGTCCATGCAGTATATCATCTTTCAGCCTATTTGTGTAATGCAGAGTGTGGCCAGAGGTGATTACCGGGGATTACACAGAGCTGATGTGCTCTCTGCCTGCGTGACACACTTCTGTCCTCAACAGCCTGCGATCACTCGAGAAGCAGCTTTGCCAGTTTGTTTGCATGCTTGTCATTTTGCAAAAACAAAAACTGGTTTTAAACGTACTCAATACAACAAAATTCCTCTCTGGGGAGTGTGCAGAAAACTTCTTGAAAGCTTTGTGTCTAAACAGCTCTCTTAGAAAAAAAAAAGTCATACAAAGAAACAACAGCAGGCGAAAGTGTTGCAGCCACTTTCACAATATGATGGTGATCTTTCACAGATCTGAGCTGCCATTGGCAGGAAGTGATCGCAAAAACACCAAAAGTGTTGAGAAATGCACGTTTAACCTTCCTGATAAAGGCAGCTGCAGCGTCATGATTTTTTTCTGTACAAGTGTTACTCTGGGTGTTAACCTCACTAGCTCAGAGCTACTCAGGTGCTGACAACAACAATCCACATCTGAGGCTGTTCGTTTTTAACCGTTTCATGCCACACATTATACATCACACGTGTCAAAATGCAGGGAAAAGTTTGTAGACCAGATCTAATCTATTATAAGGACAATACGATCTAAACACATTTACTGACAATATTTATCATCCACCACTGAAAAGCCAAGACAGATGACATTGCTTTTGCTTGTAGTTGTGCATGTGTGCTTATGTCTGTCTGTTAGCAAAATAGCTCATAAACCACTGGACAGATTTCACTTAAACTTTCAGGACATAATCATTCAAATGACAACTAGAACTGGTTAAAGTATGGAGCCAATCCAGTTTAAGATGGCCGCCAAAGCCAATTCAACTTACAAAACACACAAATTGGTATAACGCATTCGGTTTGATAGATATTGTACTAAAATTTGCTGTGGTTGTAGCCGAGAATAACTTACAACACATAGTTTTACTAATTATGTTATATTTTCTTCATATTTTAATCATTAACTGTTGCATTCAGCTCTGCCTATCTGTTAACAAAACATCTCTTGAGACACTAAATGAATTCTAATAAAACTCCTAGGAAGTTATCACTGGGTGTACATCTACATTTGATTCACTTTTAGAGCAAATTAACCCATGCAAAAAAGGCTGTATTACTGTCAGTTTTACAGATATTGTGCTAAAATCTGAAGCACTAATAGCTTAGAGTCATTCACAACACATACTCTGAGGACATTGCACAAATTTGTGCATAAGGCTATTTTTAAAATTTGCCTAAACCACCTACAATTTCATCATTTCTCATCATTAGATCATATCAGTGTATTTCCAGGATGAAAAAAAAAAATGCATTTCTTGAAGAAATGCCAGGTCATTAATGAACATAGAAATTTAATTTGATGGAGGTCTTTTTTTCTTCACGTATTTTCAAATCAAAATTTAGCATATCACTTAAATTGCTTCCAGAACTGAAGCATTCGTTTGCGTTAGACAATCAATAATTTACATTTAGCTGCTGTCTGTAAGCCAACGCATTAAACATCTTCTAATAAACAGACACAGCCTGCTACCTTTCACCCTTTTTTTGAACCAGGACAAAAAACTTTCACACCGACAGATTTTTTTAAAACAAACCAGGCACAAAAATGGCTGCAGTACAATCCAATGTATTATAAAAATAAAACATCTTTAATAGTTTATCTGTTTTTCTTTCACAAACATGTCCATTTCAACAGTCACAGTGGAAATTAAGTGATTCTATAAGTTAGAGGGATGTACATAACATTATGACAACAGTATCTGGACACAGGTTTTTGAATGCTAGATCAGGTGGTCTTCTGACACAGAGTTTTGGACATTTTGACCAGAGCTTTCAACATGATCCCTGTGATTAAGCGTAGTGTGATATGGAATCCCTATTAGTTCAAAACAGTAAAGGTAGCGGACCCATTAAAACCTTCTTTTTAGTTAATTTAAGATTTCCGTATAAATAAAGCAAGTTCATTGTGCAGAATGCATTGCAAAGGAAGAGCTAGAGGGTTGCTGTTCCTCAACAGTCAATTTAAGACAAATAAAAGGTTTGCTTTTGGAATATATTCGGACATTTTAGAAAAATAAATATATTACAACTCTATAACTTCCAAGTACAACCACTTTTTCACAATATTTATAATAGTGACAGGTGATGTAAAGAGTTGAACCATCTCTCAAGCTGGTTCATGTTTATGCCAATGCAAAAGTTTGATATAAAGATGTAAAATACTTTTTACACTATTTACACATTGTAATTTTTACAGCTTGCTCTTATTGCTTTGTTGAAGCGCTGCTATTACTCACGTCAGTCATTTTATAACACCCTTGTATTTCAGTTTAGTAGCAGTATACTTGATTACTAAAAACAAGACTAATTGACTGATGCACCTTTTAATGTAACCAATCATAAACCTTGTATTTTGCAGTAATAACAATCCCCTGGCAAAGGTTAAAAAGCAACTTAATGTAAAAAGTATATATTTTTTACTGTAAGATTTGTAAACATTCATGTAAACAGTTTTAGTTCTTTTGGATTTGTCAAGAAAAGACTATCAGATGTTGGAGATCTGTCTGAACTTCCTGTTTAAAAACTGAGCAGAGTCATTTTTTATCTTTAAAGGTACTTCCACTTCTGATCTTTTCTTCCTGATCTTCTTATACCTCTTGCAGCATATGTAAGATGTCAGCACAATAACCAGGAAGAACAGCCCCAGACATGTCACTGAAAGAACGATGAGGACGAGCCGACAGGGGAATAGCTCGTACCTCTCGGGCCCATCTGTCATCTGACCAATGTACCAGGGCTTCTCCTCCACCTCTATGTCTGCCTCTCTGGTCAGCAGACTTTGGATGTAGCTCTCGTTACTCACGGTTTCATTGACAAAGAAGTTTACCATCACTGTTGAGTAAAGTGGCTCAGGTTGGCCATGATCACTGACCTTTACCAGAAGGCTGTAAAGGCCCCTGTTGCTGAGCTCCCTTCTTAATGTTATATTTCCTGTTTCTGGGTCAATGGCAAAAGAACCCTGTTCACCGCCTTTCCTTTTAATGATACTGTACGCAATCACAGCATTCATGCCTGTATCTTTGTCCACAGCGTACACTTCTGTGATTGAGGTTCCAGGTGTTGTATCAGGTAGAACGAGCATGTAAGACTGGTTAGACTGAGGGAAGAGGACGACTGGTGGATTATCATTTACATCCAATAACAACACAGTGACCATAGTAACAGTGGAGAGCGCTGGTTCTCCACCATCGACCGCCTCAATCCACAGATGGTACGTGCCTTGCTGCTCACGGTCCAGTGATGTCCTGGCCCTTAGGGCTCCTCGACCTGTGTCTATCATGAAGATGTCACTACCATTGAGGATGGACAGGGCTATCCAGCCATTTTCTCCAGCATCAGCATCTGTTACAGACAGCATACCAATCTCACCGTAACCTGGGAAGTTCTCAGCCACAAAGAAAGTGAAGTCCTTGTTGATGAAACGTGGACTGTTGTCATTGCGATCTTCCACTGTCAACACCACTGTTGCAATCGACTCCCTTCGTGGCGTCCCCTGGTCCACTGCTCTAACTATAAAACGGTATTTCTCTTTTTCCTCACGGTCAAGTGATGTGGTCACAGTCAGGACACCTGTGACATGATCCACAACAAAAATCCCAGGGGCATCGCCTCCAAGGAGATAAATCACTTCCCCTTGACTTCCGCCATCATTGTCTGAGGCTTGGAGCCGGGCTAGAAAGGTGTTTGGTGGATTATTTTCCTCAATTGATATTTCCACCAAAGATTCTTGAAACACAGGTGCGTTGTCGTTTTCATCCAAAACCTGCACTTTCAGAAAAGTCTTGATGACTATTCCTTGAGAATTGTTTGCAACCAAAATGAGCTCATATTTTTGCGTCTTCTCGTAGTCCAAGGGCTCTGTAGTTTCCAGAAGGTATTCGTTCTTGACCTCTTGGTATGGGACAAGCCGAAAGGGACCAGCCCCTTCCAAATAACAGTCCACCCTTTGGTTTTTGCCAATGTTTTTAATGGTGAAAAAAGCAATTGGAGAGAAAGCTGGCTCAGACTCCTTTATAGATACCACTCCGTCCTTTTCTGATGCAATGTAACGTGGTATGATAGCATGGGGTCCTGTAACTACTTTGATGATGTGGACAGTTACAGTTGCAACAGCAGGGATACAGCCGGGTCCAATGGCCAAAACAGTGAGTTTATAAAATGTGCCTGTGACCATGTCTACATTTCGGGCCAGCTTCATCACCCCTGTGAGTTTGTCTAAATGAAACAAGCTGCGAGTATCCCTTGGCACACGGTCACTGTAAGAATAGCTGATCAGAGCATTAGCACCAAGGTCAGGGTCAAAAGCGTGAAGTCGTGCCAAGTGTGTCCCTTTGGTGGAATTTCCATGCAGAGTGACATTAATTTGTGACTCTGTAAATTTGGGGCAGTTGTCGTTCACATCCGTGATAACAATTTTCAAAGTAGCAGCTCCAAGAAGGGGAGGAGTTCCTCCGTCCTCTGCTATAATATCTGTAATATATTCATCCTGTCTCTCTCTGTCCAAACTCTCTGTCACAATGAGGAATGGCGTCAGCTCACCTCCCTCGTTCTCCTCAACGTCTAGTGTAAATACACCAAAGTCATTAACAAGCCAGTAAGTCTGAACTCCATAAACACCCAAGTCTGGGTCAACGGCGGACTGCTCCACTGCGTAACGAGTGTTGACTTGTGTGTTTTCTGGGATGGACATGCAGATTTCATCTACTGGGAACGTGGGCCTGTTGTCGTTCACGTCCTCAATCGAGATCTTAACTTTGACGAGCTGAAAGTACTGCTGAGGCAACACAATCACATCCAGTGAGAGGACACATGCCTGCCCCACAGAGCTGTAAGGACAGAGGGTCTCCCTGTCGATCTCAGTAGCAGATGTGAAAAGGTCCCCTGTGGTGTTTTTTAGGTTCACATATTGTTCACTGACCTTCTTTTGTGAAAGACTGAATAAAAAGGGGGGATCAACTGTGAAATCTAAATGTAAGTCTACTCCAATAGCCCCGATGAAAGTCCCCTTTGGTAATCCTTCCTTTATTTTATAGACGAGCTCTTTTGCTTGACTGAAATTTGTCAGGCAGGGAAGGGGGGTTGTGTACAGCAAGATGATGCAGAATCCCTGTAACACAAGACAAGTAAGCTTCAGTTAGTTAAAAGACACATAATAGGATGATATTTGATAAATCAAGTAATTACTCAAAGTTTTATTCAATTCAATTCAGATTGTTTACGGTATATAACACCAAGTCACAACAGAAGTCATCTCAGGGCACTGAACATTAAATATAAATATAAATATACACATAAAAAAATGATACTGTATTTTTACCGTCAGCAACAAAGTTTGCCAAACATCAGTGATTTGAGCAGTAGAAGTTATAGTTTTGCAAATAATATCTAATTCAGTTCAGAAATTTAGAATTATAAAGAGTTCATTGTCTGGTCAAACAGTTTTAAAGGTTTATTAAAATAAAAGAAAGTGCAGAAAAAGAACCAATTCTTTATTGAATAAAGTATCTCCAGTAAACCAGAATACATTTGTAGTTGTGTCTGTGAGTTTTAAACAAAAACAAATGATCGTTAAACTCACCCATAGTCTTCCTTTTTGGCTAAGTTGTCTGCTGGACATGTTTATATCCCAACCCAGCACGCTCACAGCAGGACCTGTGGCAGCTAAAGTAACCCAGGCATTTTGAGCTTTGGGTTGAGCAGACCTCTGCTGAGAGCTGAGCCTCGTTTCTATCTGGCTTGAACAAGTCATTCATCTCAGTGTGGCTGGAGGACACTCCCACCACATGCAAATCAGATCCCTGAGCTGACCAATGAGAGGTGACAGCCAGCGAGAAATCTTGAGTTCACAGATTTTTCTTTTATGTATGCCTTCAAAGAGCATCGACACACACCTGCGTGCTCTACACACACACACACACACCCATGTTGTCATAGGCAGCTGCAAACCTTGTACTTTTGAGGCAGAGTGAAATCAAACGATGACCAGAAGTGCTCATGATGATGAGTGACTGGGGAATATATGAAACACCCAGCGCCAAGAGATTATTTTAATCCAGCAGTAGTTAAAAACATTACAAATTAAAGGTCTAGCATTCCTTGAAGGAATGCTTATCACCCGCTGCCTTTCAGAGTTTTAATGCAAAATGTTCACCACAGCTACCTCATATATGCTTAGAGTTTGTGTTGAGGATTACCCTCAGCTACTACCACACCAAATTTTAGCTGAATATCTATAAATTTGACTGGGTTGTATACATTTTTGTGTTTTGTAAGTCAACTGGCTGCAGCAGCCATCTTGATTTGAGCTGAATCCAACCATTCATCATTTGCAGGTGTATACCCAACGATTGTCTTCCGAAAGTTTCATTAAAATCTGTCCTGTGGTTCATGAGATATTTTGCTGACAGACTGACAGAGTGGACTCCAATAGTTATTGATAATGTTTTAAAGACAGAGCTCACATGATTAGTTAGTGCTTTGAGTATGTGTTGGGTACCTGTCCCAGCTTACTAAATTGAAGCTTTAATAATTGTAAAATTGGTTCTAGCAATTTTTGTGTTAGCAAAAGTTGCTTAACTCTTGCAGCCATCTTGAATAGAATGGACACAAACCTTCTCTGTTGCAGCTCTTCTATGATTACTCGTATTAAACAAACATGACAGACATGCTTAGGAGCTCTTGACTTTTATGACATGAGCTTTTATAAATATATATGTTTTCATATAAATATTTGAGATACAACTGCAACTAATTCATGTTTTTTTTTTCTTCTTCCAGATATAAATGTCTGAAAACAACAGAAAAGGAAGGAAACGATCAGAAATGCAGCAGAGAGGAGGAAGTGCTGCTGTGGTCTCACTCTGGATTGAGCCTCTAACTAAATCAGCCCCTAATCCCCATGTGTTCTAAAGCCCCTTATCCACAGGTCTGGTTCTTGTTGTAGCCTGTTGTGTCCGGTTCTAGTGGGACCTCTATTTTTGTGTCTCACCTTTGCCTATAGTTCCCGTTTAGTGGGCGGATTGTTCACCTCTAGTGGGCGGATTGTTCACCTCTAGTGGGCGGATTATTAATATCAATGCACCTTACCAGCTGGTGGCGGTAGTGCTACATTAAGCTCTTTTCTAAGCACCACTAACATGCATTAGAAGAAGAGCTGGAAAACAACACACAACCAAAATGGATGACCTACATGAACTTGAAGCAGAACCAGCCGCACAGCCCATCCTGGTCGCTGTCCCGCAAGATGGAGAGCAGGGCCGAGGTGTCAGAGATGCTCTGATGGATCATGAGCTGTAACTTATCCTAATTCCACCCCTTAATCTTTTTTTACCTCCCCAGCCTTCCTTAGATACAAGTGAACGTTAAAGTGTTGATTTGAAAATAAACATGGATTAATAATTATTCTTGTTTTTTTAATGTAGACATGCCTTATTACCAGGTTCGTGTAAAAATGGCAAAACAAACACTGCTGCTGTGCTTCTATCACATATGCTGCGTTTTTTAGTAGCTGTAGTTTTAGAAAAACTGTAATCTCTTTAATTTTTGTTTTTAACAAAGAACCAAAACCTACAACAAGAACTTTATATTTGTTTATGCATATATACATTAATCTATTTTAATATATATATATATATATATATATATATATATATATGTCTTCAGCCAGAGACTTCTTCAGATCCCTTGTAAGACAGATGCTACAAGAGATCCTTCCTGCCCACAGCCATCAGCATCTAGAACAACTCTTTAATGAAACCAGGATGATGAATTACATTTAATTTCCCTCTGGGATTAATAGTCTTTTTGTAATTTGATTTTTATATATGTATGTATGTATATATATATATATATATATATATATATATATATATATATATATTTATTTCGTACATTACATAATAACCTACATTTGATTTGATATTTAACAACTCTTTCAGAGTTTATGCTTACCACGCAGCTACACTATTGACGTAAAAAAACACTGTAAGCACTTCACTTTTGATGATCAGATGGAAGCTCAAGACTTGAAAATGTTTCTTTTATTAGAAATAAAGACCTGTACAAAAAAAAACAATTATACACTAATTATATATGCAAACTTAACAAGCTACGTTTGGCTATTTGTGGGCTTACCTTGCAGGATCTACATTTCTATAGATAACTATGATCTACTCTAAATATTTTTAAACATGTCTGTTTGCCATGGAACGGGCAATGGATTCCAGCACCCCAAGGAGTGCCTGACTGAAAGCAGCACTCTGTTCAGCCTCCTGCCTTCGCTGTGCTGCTTCCTCTCTGCGAACATCTGCTTCCTCTCTCCTCAAGGCCATCTCCTCCCTCCTAATTGCCTTCTCCTGCTTCCTCGCTGCTGCAGCTTGGCGTTGCCTCTCCGCAGCTTCTTCTTGCCTTGCTTTTTTGACATCCTCACAAATAAAATGGAAGTGTTCCTCTCTCTGCTTCCGGTTCATCTCCTCTTGTTCTGTATGTGCAGAAACAAAGCTCTCTGCTGCACTTGTTGATCTGCGCTTTCTATTGCCTAGGAATAACACACAAGAAAATGGCTGTTAGATGATGAAGTACAGGTAGAGTTTTTAAGTTACTGCTAATTTTGAGTTCCTGCTAATTTCAAAAGGTGTTTGTTTACAAGATCAGAAATGATTCTGTTCATAAAGCAGTCTAGTACTTTAATGATAGTAAGCAGGTGGGCATAAATAAACTACATGTAGTCATTTACAATCGTTTGTGCTAATTTAGAAAAAGAACAGAGCATCGTTAATCTGAACAAAAATCACTACACCCTGTATAATTTCAATAATAAACTTCATAAATGAAAGTTTAAGTAATAAATGAATAACTAAATTTAACATTTATCCATTACAACTGAATAAACAAGTAGTTTGAATACATGCAAGGTGTTTTACAACAAAAACAAAACAACATTCATATCGACATGATCAATGTGATGTTAAACACGATTGTTGCTTCTTACCTAGTAACGGGTGCTGTTTGGTGCCGCTCTGCTGCGTGTTGCCCGGTGGCGTGCATGTACTCGGAGCTGGTGTGGTCGGGAAGGGTCAGAAGCGGGGAGGACTGGACAGTCAAAAGCAGAATCTGGCGAACCTTCATGTTCAGTGGGACTTTCTGCATCAAAATAAGAGTGGAAAAACAGCAACAGAGTACAGTTAGCAATGATGCTAACTAATGACGACGTAACCGCGTCAGCCTCGTTTGTTCAGAGTACTTTCAGAAAACGCAAAGAAACGGTTGCATGAGGAAAAGGAAATATGCTTAAAGTAAATAAAATACACTCACCATCAACTATTAGTTTTTTAAGCTTTCCTCTTTGCTTTGGTGTGCGATGGAGCCCTGCACCGCCATCTGCGCAGACACCTCTTGAAAAATCTTTTCATTTCGTTTCGTTCCATCTAGCTCGCGCTGCACTTGTTCATCGGCCAGCAAACACAGAAATGCCTGAACTTCAGCATTCGACCACGGTTGTGCCATGATTATTTGTTTTACCTTATAAAATATTCCAAAATAAGCTCCTCCGATTTCTTGTTGTCTGTTATGCGGGTGAAAAAGAAAATGGTGGATTGTGATTTCCGGTGGAAGACTGAATCTCCGCCCTCCACCAATGAATACGCCCCCTGACCAATCAGTGACCTACAGTGCGCTGATGTCACAACTAGACCCTAAAAGAACCAGACCTGGGACCTCAGTGATTTAGGTCCCAAAAATGGGGTGGGTTCCACCGTTAAAGGCATTGTTGATAAATCCTGCAATCGGCCACAACTAGTTACATAGGAGTACCAAAAAGACCCGTGGATAAGGGGCATAAATGCCAGGCCAGCTGTTTGCGGGGATTGGAAGCATACTGCTCAGAAAAACTGAGTGATTGAAGTTCTCTGGACAGGGGAGGGTTGAGATCGTCACTCACGCTCGTTTCCTCTCACACTGAGGTAAATGTCTATTGACATTACTCGTTATCACCAGCGTCACGCAGATCGACGACACAAAATAAGACTCGGAGAAGTAGGGGCCTGGTGTGTTTAGCAGTAAGCAGTCAAAATATGTGTTGGGGATTACGCTCAGCGACAACCACACCAAAGTAAATCTCAATATCTCGAAAGATGGCTGTGTTTTGTCTTTCTTGCACTAGCTGTGTCGACCATTTTGGATTGTGAGCAATAATCTTAACAATGTGTTAACATATAGCTGGATGTTACTGACAGCTACCGTATTTTCCGATGTATAAGTCACACCTTTTTGTATAAATTTGCAAGTCCTACGACTTATACACCGAAGCGACTAATACGTTTTTTTTTCTTCCCATTTTCATAACACAATTTTTGACTTATGTTTGAAATGTTCATTCATAGACATGAACCAGTAAACATTACCAGTTGCAGCCGCCCCGTGTCTGTCTCGCTCCTGCCGGGCGCATTTCCTCCACGGCGGTGCACCACCCATCCATCTACCCATCAATACATTGATCCATCCACCATCCATCCATCCATCCATCCATCCATCCATCCATCCATCCATCCATCCATCCATCCATCCATCCATCCATCCATCCATCCATCCATCCATCCATCCAC